ACCGCACCTCCTCACCAGCAGATGCGCCACACACGACCCTGTACCACACAACACTATACAGTCACGCAAGGGGTGCCTCGAAGGTCGCTGGAGTGTGTCCTCTGGCTCTTTGGCACGCAACCGCGTGCATGTGGCACGGGCAGACCGACTGTTTAACTTAGTCAGCCACTGTGCCCACCCTCAGAATTAGTTGAGACTGTTAGAAGGCACTTAACGGGCAGCTAGCAGTGAGCTAGCATACAGGTAGCGAGCGCGCTCACAACAGGCTATCAATCGGCCTACAGGAGACGAAGCATACTGATAGGTAATCAATCAATAATTTAAAATTCAAGCTACTGTCAGCCGTGAGTCACCAGCCAATCGTGCCACTAGCCACGCCAGCACAGAAGCTGATTGGCCCGATGGACATAGTTTACATGCGTTTGTTGCTCTAAATATGTCATACCTTTTACACTCAAGGACTTCTGCTTTTGCCCACTTCTTGTCGTGTTCTTCCTTGGGAGCCGCACAGGAGGCGTGATTGGGTGGTGACACCTCGGCCTTGGCTGCCGTTACCACAGAGACCGACCCCGATTTGTGTAGGGGAGAAGAATAAGGTGGACTTTCAGGGCATAGTGCTCGCTATATATAAATCTAACGCGCTTGCAGCTACTACAATTCGCTAAAAGTTATGGTTAGAAAGGTTGCTAACTGCCGCAATTACTCTATCTTCTTCTCAGGACACATTCAGACTGTAATGGGTCCTAATACAAGCGAACATGCGAGTCCCAGGAAGTAATTGAGAAGTAGAAGACGACTCGATCGCTGGGACAATATCGGCGTGCTGAGACGCACTGCAGTGGACGAGAAGATAAATTTGCCGAGGTACAATATCTTCGACGGGTGTTCAGAGAAAATGGTTACCCGCACAACTTCGTCAACCGGTGCTTGCGCAAACGAGATGGCCAACAAAGTCGCACGGACCCCAAAATTTGGCGAGTTATCGTGCTCGTCAAAAACGTCTCGGAGGCTGTCGGCCGCCTTTGTGCACCACTTGGAGTTGGAGTCGCACACAGACCGGAAGCAACCATAATGAAACCAAAAGACCCACTGCCACGACAAGAAACATCTAGAGTCGTCTACAGGATCTGGTGCAGTTGCGGGCAAAGCAATTGTGTCGGAGAAACTGTTAGGCTTCTCAAGACGCAAATTGCCGAACACGCGGCAGTAGTGCGGCAAAATGATGCCAATGGTCAAGTTGCGGCTCATTCGACGAGACCCGGCCACACATTCAAATTTGATGAGGCCCGAATTCTCGCAAGAGGTGACAATCGAGTGTGCCGAGAATTACATGAGCCATGGTTCACGGGCCTCCAATCCATCAAAGGCGCAACGATTTGCCCGATCCATATTCATTGCTGAGACTAAATTTGGCCAAAGCAAATCGCCGGTTGGGGAACAGACAGGCCGCCACATCATCTTATGTCAACACCGCAGGGCCAGATTTTCATTGCTGACGCAACGAATCAGCGCATAGTCAAGGCATTTATCGGTTTTTTCTGTATGGTAGACGCCTGTGCACACACAAACCGTGTCTGCTACTGTTCTGTGAGTATGTCCCTGAGGATGAATCCTCGATGGATTTCGAAACGTCAAGCGAATAAACATATCGTCCCAGCGGTCGATTCTTCTACTTGTAATGGGTCCTTCTTAATACGGCACCTCCACTCAACTGAAATCTGAGCCACAGACTCGCCTGTTATGCAAAATTTTGGTCCATAATGTGCCATGCACAACGGTATCACGCTTAGGCGCCGCGCCAGGTACCTGCGTACGACACCACTTCCGGTATTTGTGATCTTGTCATGACACCGAGCCCTGGAAGGTGAAAGAGAGGGTGCGACAGAGGCTGTTGAGAGCAGGTAACCGTCCCCATGCCTATGATGCTGTTTGGCGCACAACGGAGCACGTCGGCATCGACAGTCAACATGTTATAACAGCACTGACGGAGTAAATCACATCTTGCCCAAATAAATTGCCGATACAAAGGAAGTAATTGAGAAGAAGTAGAAATAGTCGCTG